GCCCCGCAGGTGCTTGTGGACTTGGATTAATGTTTCACTTACTGAAATTTCCCTTGATCACAAACCGAACCGCACAGTTCAAGTAGCAATATCTGGGGGAAATATTTTCGAAAACAATGTTTGGACTCTTGTCAGTAAACCATTTAAGTCACAGAGGAAAGTGGATCACAAGAAGCAAAAACTAAACTTTTTTCATAAAGGACACAAAGTATGTTGAAATCGGGATCCTTCATTCTGATGGCCTTATGTGGTAACGACAGCAGCATTGTGTCAATACAGTATACCGGTATAGTTTTATCATTTAAACATGGTAGGGAAGACGTTTAAGTTTTAAATGAGCATATATTAGTTAGTTTATATCATCAACACACTCAATATGAAGTGATGCCATGCTGTCTCAGACCAACCTTTGCTGCCATCTTGTGGAAAATAGCAGAAAAATATTTTTAATCAACTACAGTGCATACACACACACACAAATAGATATATATATATTGCAATTATTACATCACAAAATTAGGAATGCATGGTGTGAATGCAAGCACTCTGCAACCTTCTTTAAGGACTGGTTGTTTTTCATACTGTGCATCAATTAAAGTAATTGACTACTGCATAGATTATGTTTTTTTGTGGCTATTTTATCATTCTAGCCTGAGAAAACAAAATACAAAATATGGAGACATTAGTCTGTGTTTTCTTTTCTTTAGGCAAAACTGAATTCATTTTTTGGAGCCAAATTTCATTATGGAAAGAACAAGAAATCAACAGTTGCGTCAGATTACTGCCATCAGTCAAGCTTTAGTCAGTCAAGTGAACAATTTGCTGTTTGTCATTCCCAGTTTCTACATGACAAAAAGACATTAGACTCATTATGAGTTTTTGTGTCTTTTATGATTGGTGTTTCTTTGTTGCTTTCTTTTTCTTTCATTCTGTGTTTCTCTAAAAAAACACACACAATCAGACAGTAATCAGTTTTAAGCTATTGTGATGCCACACTGTTATCATTATAATTTGTTTTTAAAATTCCTATGTAATGGTTTATCCTCAGTGTAGCCTGAGAAATGTCCTTTGAAATGTCAGCAAAGACAGCATCATGGGTCACGGTTTGTTCAGAATGAGGCTGAAACTCTGTGGAGCTGGCGCTGTGAAAGACCATGCTACTTGCAAATATAACCACAACAGATGTTGCCAACAAGTTACTTGAATGCCAATTTTGTCAGACGACAGTCTACATGGAACAATGATCAAACCTAAATTATTATTCACCAATATGCAGTGTAAGTAAAATGATTAATAAACCCATCATTTAAAATGTTTTACATAATGTTCCAGTTCGTAGGCACAAGGACCCAGCAGAGGGAAACACCCCTCTCACCCTCATGCTTTCTCTCCCTGGCCTCCCTCCTCCTCCCCCAAACTAATGTGCTCCTGGAGGAGGTACAGGGAGGTGACTTTACCTCAGCTTCAGATTGCCTGGGTGTGAGTTGGAAATATATTGAAAAAGGATTGCTAGTGGGTAAATGGGACAGGGGGGAAAGAAAAAGATGATGGGTTGACCTTTGGAAAGCATCATACCTTGAAAGCCTGGACAACATGGAAGCCAGAAAGGTCCTCCATTTTGTGCCATCTGGTAAGTTTCAAAGGGTAGAGTGGGGTTAGGAGGTCTTTTACTGCCTCAACTGGAGCCCACTGAGTCAAACCCATTCGAAAGTTACTTTACAGCAGACAAATCTTCGTGTGTTTTTGTGCTGATAGACTTTTTAAAAAAATTCTGACGTAAAACATGTTCATGATTTATTTTGATTAGTAAAAGCAGAAATTAGTTCCATAATTGTTTTAAAATTTGTTTTCATCTAAGAAATATGTGAAAATGTTTGTGAAAAATATGAGAAAAGATTCTTTCATTGCCAGGACAGCTGTATGGCCTGACGCAAATGGGTCAATATTTACAGTGTAGCAATAAATAGTCCATTGTCTTTCATTAACAACTGCCCCTCTCTAAAAAACTCTCCCTCAGTCCCACCAAAGCCAGGTAGAGTAAGAGAGAAATGTACAAATGAGTCTTTTCATTTAAACATAGTTATTCAAGAGAGCCAATTTCTTGTTGCACAAAGTTAGAAACTTTCAGAATTCAGCAAACAGCGATTTAATACTACTTGATTCTGTTTTGAAGATTGATGACTGATGTTTTATTATTCTTTCTTGGTTTCCTCCCATTATATTATTTCTAAAAATGTTTGGGTTTAGTTTTGGCTATTGTTCGCATTTTCCATGTCGTAATATCATTCAGGGTAAACTGAAAGCACCCATATGTTGCCGCAAGCATTCAGTGAAAATCAATGTTTTCTACGATGGCATTAATGGGTTAAAAAACCCTGCTTAAATCTTTTTGAGGCCAGAGACTAAGAAGATTATCTGGCAGAAAATATTCTAATCTGGCAAACTCCAATTCATTTAAATCATTCTGGTTTTGATGTTGACGTTAATGTCAACTATATTAATTAGAACAGGAATGACAAAACTATACTTTGTCGCCTTATTTCAGATATTTAGTTTCATGATAACGCTTGCAAAAGTAGAAAAGACTGGCTCTTTGAGATGTGTTTGAGGGATTAATGCCATATTCCATGTTTAACCTCTTTGATGTCAAAGTGAGGAAAAATATATTTTCTTGGTCTGGAACAGAATGGCTGAAATTATAGCACGCCCAGTGGTCAGATTCAGTGCCCCTGGTAAACAGACTTATCCTCTCCAGCAGCCTTTGAGGTGTTGAAGTGGAATGAGCTGTAGTTCCTCCTTCCTGTCCTTTGCCTAATAGCAAAGCATATAAATGTGAACAATATGACAAGCAATACAAACAATGGTCAAAGCTGTGATCTTCCTCTAAAATGAAGCCTTAACCGTCAATTATTAAGATGTAGAAGAGATTAATACATTTTACAGAACAGCAGGAGAATCACTAAAGCACAAACTTACAAACCCTAACAGTGAGTTTAAGAAGCGCTGAAGTTTCATCTTACATCTACACTTCATGCACTCTCTAATAGTTTGACCTTGCTGAGTTCAGCACAAAGTTCTCTGCTTTGTGCCATGGTGCTATTCTTTCTAAAGACCCAACAAGGATTCTTCTGTTTCTTGCTCAAGGACACCGTCTGGCCAGATAGCAGGAAGGAATGAATAAAACATGCCTTGTGACTTTTAGGAGTATGACATGTTCGTTAGATGAAATGGACCAATTACAGACATCAGGTCATGCTTATTAACATAAGTGTGGTCTTTAGTCTCAGATTGAAAAAAACTAAAAGTCAGAATACAAATGTAGTTGGTGAGTGGCTCTGTCTTTTAGTTGATGATTCAGATTAGCTGCTAAATTATCATAATCTTCATCTGGCCATTATCCACTCATTCATTGGGTTTGGTTTGGTGTGGTCTTTTTATTACCTAACTGACAAACAATCACCTACAGACAGACAAACAAACACCACTCTCTCCGAGCCGGGAAAACACTTTAAATTAAGTGTTGGACTGATATCTGATAAGAGGACACAGAAAGACATGTGAAGTGATGCCTCTGTTATGTTTGAGTAAAATGCTCCTGTCACCCCCCGTCAGAGTCATGATGGCAAGAGACCAATCAGAGTAATTGTTAGAAATATTTACCGGGTCACTTTTTTGGCTACTATGATGCTCTGTGGGAGCATGTTCTGTTCTGCAGCCTGCATAGTTCAGATACCAAAGCTGGTGTTGGCTCCCCTGTACTGGATTGATGACATGAACAGGCTGTACACATCATCACAAGGTCTCATGTAACAGCGACATAGTCCCGCGATAAAACATAAGCTCATGCATATTAAATGCTTGGTTATGAGATTAGGTTGGAAGTAGACATGTTTGCATTATGACAACCTTACAATTATGCAAATAAGTACACTTTTAAAAGGCTTTAAATTGCACAAAACTACAATTACAGATGCACATAAGTATTTTATTGGATATGATAGTAAAGAAGATAAAGAAGAAAAGTGCTGCACTCTGGAAAATGTTTCAATGTGAATTTGAGTTTCAAGATTTTACAAGTGTTAGTTTGCTTTGTTGTCTGTTAATTAATATTTATCAATCATATAAATCTGGGTCAAATGCTGTTTCCGCTCAACTGTTTGGAAGCACATAAGTAAAAATCCATGGGAGTTACGTTGGTATCTCACTGAATACCAGAAATGGAAACCTTGTGGTGTCATGGGAGGGAAGGTGCTTTGAAAGACTTCACAAACAAGGTCGGGGAGCAAGAGTGCAGACTATTTTGGTTTCAGTGTCATGGCTGTGGGAGTCCTTGTGGAGAGCGTACAGCTTAATTTACAGTTTCTAGAATGCAGCATAAGCACAAGAGCCTGAGCTCGACAGTGAACTGAAAACATTATAACTCTCAGGCTTGCAGACAGAAACAACTGAGAGTTTAGGCTCGTCCTGTTACACTTTGCTCTGGCTGACAGGTGGAGATGTTTCCCTGTACTGATAGTACTGTCATTCCAGCTGAAGCACAAATGTCACTTCAGTATATGAGCGGCGGGGAGATTCAGAAGTATTCGGGCTTATTGATCACATTGATAACACATATTATCAAGGATTTTCAAAGTTGACCTATATCTTTCCAAGATTAGGCTTTGAGCCAACGCTGACACAAATAGCTCATTTCAGAAGCTATGACATAAACTTTTGTTTGAGCAGTGGTGTGGTGAAGGCCTGGGAATGTTCTGTCTAATATGCTTTTAGATGTAGCCTTGCTTCCCAGCCCCTGGAACCAAACTCCGCCTGAGGCAATGAAAACCGTACCTGCTGCAGCTGCGGCGGATACACGATCGCCTACACAAACACCAGGAACAGCTTGCATCAGATATTTGCTGTAACTGAGAGTGAGGGGATGTTTAAATTTCTCAGCATGGCATTTCTTTTAGACCCTTCTGTGATCCAATGAACCACATTCACTCTCAATCTTACAATGTTGTGTGCCACATTTTAAAGGTGTAGTTATGAGACTGAGAAGAAGAATTCAACAACTTAAAATGTCAGACACAGTCAACTGATTCATTCTAACTTCCAGTCTCTGTCCACTACAGCTGTTATCATGTTCTATGAAAGCAGCCAAAACTGTTGACATTTTTCTGCAGCCTACAAACTTGCCATCCAACTGAGAGGTACTGTTGCACTGACCAGAGGCTCCAAGGTCAAACAGCTAATTCTAGTTTCCCACAGTTTTTTCATTATGTTGTGCTTAATTCAGTTGTGTGTAACATGTTATCGAAAACGCCTTTCTGTTTGTATTTGTGTAAGCTCCAAATGTCTGATTATCTGTAAAAGGGGTTGTGAGTCGTTTAAAGTAGCCAGCTATGATTGGGAGTTCTGCTTGTCTAATTTCATAAATACCAGTCTGGGACTGTGAAAATGAAAAAAGGCTAATGAGACCACAAACAGTACCCATGTTTCAGTATTGCCCAGCACAGGGCTATCCAATAGGTCTGATTCCACTTTTCCACAATATTGTCAACAAACTTTTCTGTGTTCTGCATGATTCAAATGAAGTGATGGATGATGATTTTCTGGGCAATGCAAAAAATAATGATAATAACACGATTTTATCATATGAGTAAACATATGAGTATGAACATATGATATGAGAAAACATCATATGTATTGTTTGCACTCCCACAGAGGCTTCACCCACTGGGCGGGCTAAAAATGGATATGTTTTCCAAGAGATGGGTATGTAGCTCCAATCACACTTTTGACATTTAAAAGAGATTGTTTTTCTCAAATGAGTCCTGCTCTCTTGTCACTTTGATATGATCAACTGTACATCAAACCAAAAATCATTGAGATCTTTTTCAATTCAAGATGCTGATGAGTATAAGTCATCTCCCTTCTCGACGGCCCATTTCACATATTGCTGAGCACAGACAGTCCCTTTGCTGTGGGAAATAATTAATAGGTATATAACAAGACAGATGATCTTGGAGTTAATGATGGGGTGAAGGAATAATCTCAGCTCAAAGCTGTGCTTGTGAAGGGTTAATTATCTAATTCGCGGCAGTTTCTTTTCCCTCATAAAATCCTCAATCAAGAAGCCGTATATATCTTCTATACAATGAAGGAATTTATGAGAGGCTGCTGTTGTTATATTGCTGCATGTCTGGTTTAAGAGGGATTTTTTATTGGGTCTTTCGCTCTCTCCCTCTTGGTGTGTTCTTGTCAACAGATGCCAAAGTGGCAGGAAGGCAAAATAAATTGTCCCTTACTGGAGACACTGCTGATGTGTCTGGCATCTCATCTTAACCTTGAACCAAAGAGCAGTTTTATCTCAATGTGACAATAAAAGAGCTACAACCGACACTCTGTAATAACAATTATTATTAGCTCTTATTTCATATAATTCACTCCATTGCTAAAAGGATTATTTCTCACAATGAAACTTTTGCTCTAATGAAACAACAGCATGGTATGTGAAT